AAAATTGCTCCTACAGAAGTCGATCCGTTGTTGCCTCCAATACCAACAAGTAGAACACCTGAAATGCTTAGTAAATACGATGGTACAGTTTTGCTAGCTGCGGACGATGAGGCGTTTCAGGTGGGGCTGGGTTGTTGCAGCGCCAGCCTGCTCTTCACCCATTGTGGAATCTGAAAGGCGATCACAGTTGACGGACAACAGGCTAGCGCCGCGCCGAATCCACTCCCCCCTGAATGCCCCAGCGTCCGTTGGTTAGCCTGCTTCAGTCTATGTATGAGTCCACACGCGCCAAAATGTCAGTTACATCTCTGATAGGAATTTTGATTCATGGCGCATCCTAGAAATGGCCACATGATAATCGCTGTTTCCTCTCTTTCCATACACGATCTCTGAAGGTCAAACTAACCAGTTTTCTTCGGCTTCAGTTGTGTTTTGAAGACGTATTCATGCTCCTTTGGTGTCACTTTTAGTCCATCGGCTGTATGGGAGAAATGGTTCTTACGGTAGAGAAATCTCGTTTCCATTTCTTTGCCATCACAGCGGACATAGGGAGAATCGACGATCACCTGGAACAAATTGAACTCAATTTAAATTAGTTGGCTAGATTGGTGGTTTGTTGGGGCTGCCGCCCAAATTGCCAAGATGGTAATTGACCTGATGGGAGTGGTATGAACCTAGCGCGAGCTACAGCTTAGATTCATTTGGTATACCTGTTTGGGTTTGTGGAGAGGCGGAGGTGGTGTAGTGACAAGTGGCGCACTTACCACTCGTGCGTTCCTGGGCCTGGGCGGGCGTCGACGTGCGGTCCTGGGTTCGAATCCCAGGTCGACACCCGCCCAGGCCAACCAAGCCTTCTACCCCTGGGGACGGTAAATTGGTACCAGATTCGTCTGGGAGGATAAGAACACATCGGCTGGCCCCCGCAAGTCATTGTATAGGCCACATCGCATTCAATAAGCCACTACGATTCTGAATGGAAGTAGAATGCGTGCCGCATCCCACAAAGGGATTGATCAACGGCGAAGACTTTATCCTTTATCCTTTTACCTGTCGGGTAGTATAGTAAAAAAAGCTAGAATAGGTGGATCGTATTACATGCATCAACTAAGGGCACGCTGTGGGGAAAAATATGCAGTTCGGCACAACTCCTCACCTCCACCCTCTCCCTCACAGGCCTCTACCCCTGCCTTGAGTACCAGCTCCTCCAGCCGAATGTCTACTGCTTTATGTGACAGTGAAAACTCGTATTGCCCTAATTCTGCTACTTGGCCATTAGTCATTATTATTCCCTTAGTTCCTTCCTTTGGCATGGATTTAACCCCCCCCCCCCCACAGCAAGTCAAAGGCACCCACTTCCCCTCCCCCCTCTCCCAGAGCTTAATCTCCCCCCTCGACTTAAATAACACCTTCGAATAACTCCTTCGTTGCTGTTGCTTAATTATGCAGTAGCTGTGAAGAAATAGTCGAAGTATAAGACTTCCGGAAGTAGTTTTCGACTTTTTTTCCATTTTTTCCTTGAAGAAATAGACGTACCCGTTTGTGCTTTTCCTGGCTAGCGTTCACTCCGTTCGAATAACCGTTCATGCTGAAGTTCCTGAAAATTTTTATCCAATGAGAAAAATCAAACAAAATTATGAGGCAAGTTGTGATCGCATTACGATTGAAAAACGAAATGAATGGAGGAAGGAGAGGGGAGGGGCAGAACGTGGACCGAACATCTGGTCGAAAAATGATCGCATTACTCGTAGTACAGACGTTTATAGAAGTGTCAGAAATTGGATATGATCGTATAATAAACATTGCAACAACGGCATAATCTGCAAAGTTGACCTTTTGAGACCAGCAAACGCCTGTCAGGTCGGAGTCCAGAAGACTGGGCCAAACAAAAGCTACTTGAGGTCGTTTCAAATTTTCCAACAGTGGATCGCCGATAAAAGAAGAAGATAATTGACAGGTGGATGAAAAAAAATAGTAGCAAGTAAACAAATAGGATAAATAATTGATGAAACAGCAAAATAAGTTAAATAAACTTCACATTAAGTAGGTACATCCCATATCCCTGACGTGGTCATCTCACCATAGCAAGCGATGGGTTTTTCGTGAGGTATTTCAATTTGAGGCAACTGCCATTTCGTCTTGTGATGGACAAAGGCATAGTTACTATTGTCCCCAAAAAGAGACTCATTTAGTGTTTCCGAAAGCGCGGCAGCCGTCACATTCAAGTGAAGTATGTCGCCCTGTCCTACCCATCATCTGGATATGGAGTTTAGCTCCCCCCCCCCCAGCTATGAAGAACTAAGTGGTGTGCAGAAATTCATAATGATGAAGTTATTTCGGTATGTTATCTTGAAATCCATGATTCACAGGGGCGGTTCAAGTGTTGAGATAGTGGGGAAGTGGGGTTGTACCAAATGACGGGATTTGGGTAGGGATGTAGGGGGGGGTCGTGCTGACACTGCCGTATAAGTGCAGTACTTTTTAGCAATACATATCAACCACACAACGGCTCCGGGCAATAGCTTATATTTTGCAAAGCGAAAAAAAAACATGCGGGGCGCGTACCTCCAGGTTTTGGAGAAGTGCAGCTGAATCAGCTTCAAAACATAGACTGCTAATGAGGCGGAATGAGAAGACATTTTCGCAGCTCTTAGTCCCATTAGTAAAGGTCCGCCCAACTAAGTTACCTATCGATTTGTCGGGAGTCACCCTAAAAAAGCAGCAGCGAAAGCTGCAAAGGAGGAGTGTCTCTCCGCTAGCAAGCGATGAGATGTTCAACTGCGAGCAAAAATCACAGATGTACGTCTCATACAGAGTGCGCTTTTATGGGCGCTTTTTCCAACAACAGCTGGCGTGATTCGGCGGCACGAATAGTATAAAAATTCAAACGAATACATTTAGGGTAAGTTGTGCCCACGTTCCGGATAGGGAAATCCCCCTCCAACGAATAATGCTGAGGTGGTGTAGTGCCAACTGGGCTACCACGCGCTGTCTGGGGTCAAATCCCCGATCGGCTCCCGTCCAGGTCAGCTAAACCTTCTACACTCCAAGGATTTGGTAGGTATCGGATACGTCTGGGAGAACAAAAACACTGACTTGTATCATAAAGAGGGTTCATCGACGATGGAGACTTTATCCTTCATACTTCCAATGAAAAAAAAAAAACTATTTTTGTTCGGAGAAATAGGTGCAGCATAATATCCTACCATTTCATGGCTTTAAACGTCCTCTTGTGCAAAATTAGGATTTCTGTAATGCGCACGAACTATTGCACCAAAATATCTACCCACAAATTCACTGCATAATGATAACAAAATGCGTATAATATCTTACTTATTTGCTTACCTATTTATTTTCAGCTGTGTAAGCAATTTTTGAAAAAATTTTCTGACGAATAAGCATTAAATTGGAATAAGAAAAAAAAACGTCAACTGTGAGTCTAGTGTGAGTTCAGATACTGGTCGCCTGAGAAAGGCTGAAGGAGCTTTTGGTCAAAGCCACTTTGTGGAAAAATTAAGGTCCTCTTCTCCCCCCCCCGTCCTTCTACCTCGACGAGCACAAAGCTACGAAACAAAAACAAAAAGAAAAATAACATCATAGACGACTGGACAGACCGATGAGAATGTAGCGCAGAGCAGGATATGCTTGGCGAAGTGACATGGATAGGCAATAATTGGGCCAATTATGCGCTTTGACCTGTCTCACGCCAGCAGTAGCAGACGTTTTTGCGTCGGCTTCTTGATTACCTCTTCCGAGAGACCTTTCGATTACGCTTAATGAGAAGGGGCAGCAAATAGAATTGCAGCCTCCCCTTCATTTGCAGAGCTTCTCCATAGGAAAAGGGCGCAAATTGGCTTGGAGGGTGACATCACGTGGTAGTCAGCAAAGCTTGAACAGGCCACTTTGTGAAGGCTTGTAAATTCCTGTTGCTGAAATGACTCGCTTGAACCACTTCGCGTTTTCATAAAGTTTACAGTTCTCACCAACGTGAGAGCCAGTGAAAGTGCGAGATGTACCCCCTTCCCCTCCTCTCCTAAGTAAATCAGTGCCGAAACAAGCCTAAGAGACTGTAATTGTAGGACATTTTGCGTTCTCGGGGAATTCTAGGCTATGTCCGAGCGTTGTCGTTAGAGAGAAAGAGCAGTGATTAAAGGTGTCCTTATATGATTCCATGAATTATAACCCGCTCAGACGTGCTGAACTGCCCCCTATTTGAGATGATTGATTGGCATAGAACTCATCCAAGAAGAAAACGTTGACGTTCAAAGTGGGTGCAGTACAGCAGAGTTTGGAAAAGCAGTCCAGGCTGATTCTACGGGAAATCTTGGAAGGAGGAGGGCGGTCAGTGAGTAGAACGCAAGTGGTTTACTGTCCCCGCCTAAACGATCTACTTGGAGTGTGGCTTCAGAGCATACGCTCTGTGTTCACTGACCTGTTTTCATGATGTGCCACGCGATTGCTTCCGTTTCAAGATAAGTGGAAGTCTTTGAATATTCAACTGGCTGACACTATCATTTCTGGCGCCTGAAAATCATGGAGGGTTCGATTGCTGATTCCTAGGCTTGAGGGACTTGATGGACACTGGTGGGATTCAGTCCAAGAGTTTACACAGGGCCCTTATGTGTACTAGCGGGGTTAGTTGCCACTGCTCCGCCTCTTAGCTGAATGAATGAAACATTCAGGTGACATCCATGTAGAAGACAGATCAGCAGTGCCCATGTTTCAATAGATTTCATACTTGCTGTTTTAGAATCCTCCAGTGAAGGTGAAAGAGGAGCCGCCCGACGAAGCAGATGGAAGCGAGGATGCAAAGACAATCGGAGAACACGAAAAGGTAGACTACAGTAGACTTACAGTATCGAAGAGAAATTTTATCTATTTCACAGTTCTTACGTGTTCTGGAGGTTGCGGTCGTTATTATCTGATTCAGGGGGAGAGGCGGGGTGGAGGGGGCGGGGAAGAGGGGGCGAGGGGCGCGTCATTATGAAGGTAAATGAAAACTGGCACGGCGTAAGTCCTTTCCCGCACGCGCCCTGAACTGCTCGAGTTCTATTACCACTGGGATGGAAAACGAGCTTGGTGGGCGTGTCAAAATTACGAAATGGCTGGCCACGCCCCTGATTAATCAGTGAAAAGGAACGTGGTACATGGCAGTCTCTCCCCAAGATGATGTCCCAAGAGGATGTTCTGCAGGCATTTTTCCCCAGGAGACGTCCGATGCGATGCTTATTCACGAAGTCGAACGTTGTCATCTTCGACATCGTGCCGACTCAAACCTTCCAGTCCGTCTAAAGCAGCCAACCGAACTCCCTTTGGGCCACATACACACAAGTTTCGAGCTGCGTTTGCATTTTGTGCATTCTAAATCTGTGCAAAAGGTGGTGTGGAAAATTTACATTTTTGTTAACCTGGCATTACTTTTCGATCAACTGGAAATCAGGAAAATCAAGAGGGAATAGAAAACTGAGCACACCTTCTTGTAGAGCAGAAAATCATCTATCAAGTGCATAGAACACATTGAGAAACGCTTCTGCAGTTTTCCGTAGTAAACTTTACGTAAGATAAAAACGTCATTACTCATGAGTCAATGAATTATTCGAATAGATAAAACCAACCAAATGATTCACAAAAGGAAAGCCAAAACTTGTGGCGTTAGAGGTGAAGGTACGTCCTCTAGACGGGTACGTCTTACACCCCAAAAATAGGGTGATGTCAATCCAGACGAAAAAAAGGCACTATTTTTACCCTTTACTGCCGCAGTCTTGCGAAATCAGTCTGGGTTTTCTGACACTTTTTCCACTATTACTACTCCAGAAGCTCAAAAAAATACTTGAAAAAATACTTGCTGAAAACATTGCCCACAGAGCTTATTCAGTGCCCTGATCACGAGTACAATGTGCACTTTTAGCGCTGGGGCAATCTAGCGCCGCCAGGCGCGAGCTTGGCGCCGCCACCGATCCACCAAAATCGATGAAAACTTGTATACGGGGCTTTTTTGACATTCTGTTCACAAATATTGCTTTCGTTTCGACGTTGGTGCGATTTTGCGCGAAGAGGCGGACATCACCTTTTGGCCCTGATCACAGATACTACACGCTCTTTTTTACCCGGGCGCTATTTGGCGCTTATAGACCCGATTTGGGGCATAACCTTTCTCACCGAAATCAATGAAAGGATGAAAGATAGAAGGATGTAGGATGAAAATGTAGGATGAAAACTTGTATACGGAGCGCGGGCGCTAGGCAGTTTTGAGCTAAACGGATGTTATATAGTCTTCAGAAGGGTCGAACTACTCTTGGGAAAAAATTTCAGCCAAATCAGCCTCGTAAAAAAAGTCGGTGGAAATTTTCGCAATTTCCACCGACTTTTTTAGGAGGCTGATTTCGCTAATTTCGCAATTTTGGGGCATCAGATAAATAGTGCAAAAAAACATAACTTCCTACGAACTCAAAGTCCTATCTATGCACGTTCAGGTCCCGCTAGTGATAATGCCCTACGGTGAACGCTACTCGATTCTTCGTCAGTTGGAACAGATGAAGCCCACGGTGATCATTCTCTACAATACAGATATCGTCACATTGAGGCATATCGAGGTAATAATTTCAAAGGCGTAGTCCATGTCAGTGGAATGGGCGGAGCAAAACCTATCCACCAGTACTTGCCTTTCTTATTAATGCGCCCCTCTTCTTAACAGTTTCTAGAGGAAGAGTGCACCAATGTGGAAGGCGGAATCTTTGGGCGCTCCCACCTAAGTCGACGCTCGTCATGGACTGTGCCTTGGAGACTGAATATTTGTTAAAAATCGGGACATTCGGCGCATGTGAAGAGATACAGTACTGTTTACTGCAGACGCTGGGCGTTTCAGGGGGAGGGGAGGCTTCGCCTGGCGCAGCACCGGCCTTTCTCCATCAGTTGTTGAACCTGCAGGCGACCACAATTGGTGAAGAATAGGCCGGCGCCCCTGTAATTGGCGCTACCATTTTACCCATCACAGCCGCTCTTCTCATGCACCGTACCCTTCATACCAGCGCTAATCATGAGGCCGCCTGCACTTTTCTCTTCTTTAAAACTGATTCAACATGTTTCTTTTTTCCAGATCTACAAAGCATGCCACTCTGAGCTTTTCCTTCAAATCTTCTCTCTCATGTACAGGGAATCGACGGAAGAATCGCGCTACTTGACAGCTCTCAAAAATGAAATCCCTGTTCAAGGAGGAAGCGGTAAGTGGTCTCAGGTTTAGCTTCAAGTAAGCTTTAACTGCCTACAGCTTCATTAGTGAAGGGCAGTACTTTGCCTGGAATAGACCACTTCATTCAGACGCTATTGATCCCTCGACGATATATGATGTACCGATTCGTGACGATTGGTCGCCTCGTTGGAAACTTTCACTCTACTTTGCTGACAACGAACATTTGTTAGGATTGTTGATTTTTCCCGTTTACATATCCTCAGCTCCTAGATGGCGGCGCCGCTGAACTACTTTTTCTGGTAGTTGAATCGGTTATATTCGTCTCCCTAGCTTGGCGGAGAAATTTCGGGAAAGTTTGGAAAGATAGTCCATCGGTTGTACAAAGGGGGGGGGTGGGGGTTCACATTGGAGCAGAGCATTGGTGGGAGATCGTATCCAGCGGAGTTCTTTTCAACGCCGTGGCGTGCCGTGATTGCCCCTCCTTTTCTGGAAGAAAACGCGTGGCCGTGAGGCAGGCTCCGTGTTTAGCCTATCCCGCCCATACAGTCAGCGTGGACTGTGTATTAAATCACACATTTCTTCCTGAAGTTTCTAAGCTCACATCTCCAGCTCTCATTTCGCAGCTTCGCAAGAGTTTACAGGTCTCACCAAAATGAGGAATGTTAATTAACATGAACTTGTAAAGAGATCTAACGGAAATGTGGAATGTCCCCTCCTCCCAAGCCGAACCACACCTTTTTGCGTGAATGCGGATATTTGCTCACCGGATCGGGAGAAGATAATAGTACTGTACTGCATGCCCGTGAACGACACCTTTCTTAATGTGTAAACTTTCCAGGTTATTGTCGACATGCGTGAATTCAACAGCGAGCTACCAACAGTGTTGTATACAAAAGGATATGATGTGGTTGCTGTTACTTTAGAGGCAGGTTTTCTTGTTCCAACTTTTGGGCAAGCTCTAAACTCTGAGATCTAGACCGTTTACCATCGTACTTAAAGACACATTGTGCGCTTACTTGTGAGGTTAATGTTTCCATGGGCGAGGTAGGGAGGTCCAGAGCTGTAGAAGGGTACAACTCTCGCCATTTGGAAGTGCAGTGAAGATCCTGAATTGGTTGTAGTAGCTGGATATCCTTTTGTTTCCACTCGCTATTTAACATGCCATATGCATGTCGCACGTTACGAGCGTGTTGCCAACATCTTCGCCGTCACAGACCCTGGTCATTTACGTCTTCGCTGCGAGACATCTGTGTGACTAGGGCCTGTGTGAGAATGTTGTCAGGCTGCCGAAATTTGAGCTGTTCGAGCTTTTAATGTTATATCAGGCTGCCGAATTTGAGCTGTTTGAGCTTTATGCAGCGTTCAGACTTCGCAACGACAGCGCTTCGGTCTCGAAGTCTGTACGCTACCTTAGCAGCGTTCACACTTGTAGCGCTACAGCGTCGCGCTACAGCGTCGCGCTACAGCGTCGCGCTACAGCGTCGCGCTACAGCGTCGCGCTACAGCGTCGCGCTACTGCGTCGCGCTACAGCGTCGCGCTACAGCGTAGCGCTACAGCGTCGCGCTACACCGTAGCGCTACAGCACCGCTTCGCAACGTACTGCAATTTCCAACGTTAGGATGATTAGAGTTGCTTATAGAGAAAAGTGGGAAGGTTGCTGGAGTTTTCTTGAGAAATTCACGGAAAGGTGAGACTGATGCAGCTGTAACTATTAGGTTGGCTAATAAGTAATGGCCGTTTTTTTCAACTGAAAAAAATTTGTTCAAACACGTCGAAAATTTGCAAGCAAGCTTAATATCGTTTAATAGCAAACTTCTCTTAGTATAAGAATATCAAAAAAGCTTTGGTTGAGGATATAGTTTTTGTGGATTTTTCAGTCGTTGAAGTTGGATGAAGTCGCCCCCCCCCCCCCCCCCCCCCCCCCCCCCCCCCCCCCCCCCCCCCCCCCCCCCCCCCCCCCCCCCCCCCCCCCCCCCCCCCCCCCCCCCCCCACCCTCGCCCCCCCCCCCCCCGAAAATTAGCACCTTCGACAACTGCCTCTATTTAGAAATTTCATGCTAATAGTTGAATTAACTGAATATGAATTTGATATTCTAATACTACGAGAAATTTGCTATTAAACGATATTAAGCTTAATGCTTGGCCAAAACTTTTCACGTTTGCGACCAAATTTCTTTTGGAACAAATTTTTCAATTGAAAAAAAACCGCCATTACTTATTAGCCAACCTAATATCTGACCATCCTTGACAGTTACTCCATTAGTCAATACTTTTCTGGTACTGCTTTTAGCGTAACAGTGTCCTTCTGTCCTATTAAGAGCATTTTCTGCAAAAAACACCCAAAGAGTACTCGCGCCACCTAAAAACACGCACGCATGTTTTTTACCGGAGACAGAAGAACCATAAAGGAACTTCTTGTTTGCATTGTGCTAACGCATTGGTGACCAGACAGTGTTCGCGTGCCTGTTGTGGGAGATAAGGCCATTTTTACGCTCCTGGGCCAAAAAAAGTACAAGAAACTGTCAAAGCTTTGTTGGGTAATGCCTCGAAAACGCGAAAACCGGCATGAATCTTTTTCCTGTGATCCAGGCAGAGATTGGGGGCAAATTCGAAAAGCAGATTTCGCTCCGTAATCCATAAGCGGCATAGGATTCTGTATTCATTCTTTCTATATCAATCCTCTTCTCCTTGTTTCTC